AATGGGTTTCAACGCTGGCCCGCTTTCAGCTCACAAAGAAGTTTGTGTTAGAAAGTCCGATCATCGTAAGTAACCGTAGAGAGTTTGATCATCAAATATTCAGAGGCTCAGTTCTCAGTGGAAATTGTTCCTGAGAGTCTTCCTCGGATAAAACTGTGACCCCAGGGATAGCAGAAGGAGCTGTCTGGTCGAAAAACGGCCTAGATAGTGCGCAAGGAGTACCCAAAACTAGCTAAGCGTATGTACACACCTAAGGCGAGCTAGTTCTTACGACATTGCAGAAGCTATTTAAGTTGCAGATTTCGCACCGGACACACTTGTTGCGGTAGGCAGCCCAGTGTAGCCAGCTGTCGCAACGGCACCCATATTTGGACAGCTAAGTATCCTTTCCATGCAAATATTGTGTTGAATTCCTAATTTCACTCTTTTTTAAAGAGTCATATCTTTCGGAATACGCTCCTTTCGAATGGAAGTCGGTATTTGTGTCCAATTGTAATTACTTCGCACCTTCCTCGCCCATCCTTCGCACCTTCCTCGCCCAACCCCTCACTAACCTGTGGAGTGACCTCCCTTAATTGGTTGGCTAGTGATCTCTCGGGCAGTCTCAGTGTACTGATATTGATTTCATGAATTGAACTCTTTATTATTAATATTGTTAATAATTATATTAGTATTATTATTATACCTTTTAATATAATATGGAATTCGGAGTAGTACAAGCCAGACATTGTGCTCATGCGATGACAAACACAGTACAGAGATGATTTATGATGCTTTCATCCACATGTTTGAATACCTTCGAATGACCTACTGGGGGTATCCAAACAAAGTGATACAGGGTGTTAAAAAAGTGTGAAAGCTCACCCTGTTAACTAGTTTGCCTACAGGCGTCTTGTGAGAATGAATGCTGAATCCTTATACAATGCGATAAATTCTTTCCCCTTTTTTATGATATTTCCAATGTTTATTTTAGCCTCCACACCTTCATTTGTTTTTTTTGTGCGTTTCATATTTTTTTGTTTTGCTTTATTTTATTTCTCATGCTTTGAATGTATCGTAGTTTCTCACTCACACAATCGATATTGTTAGACGTGGGGCTAGTTGTCTGGCAGAGAGGTCACCAGTCATCCGATTAAGGGAGGTCACCCCTCAGGCGGGTGAGTGGCTGGGCGAGGAAGGTGCGAAGGATGGGCGAGGAAGGTGCGAATAATTACAAGTGGACATAAATTGGCTCACTCCTTTCCGAATGTTTCTCGCTACTTTTTCACAGTAATGAACTATCACTTCCGTTATTTGGCTAAAACTAAATACCTCAAAAATGTCGTGAACAATGCTTCTAAAGAAGCTAGGAATAATCAGTGAGTTATATTATCGCTCATGCAAGTGATATGTTTTGAGTGTACACCTTCGAAAACCACGGGAGAATTCTGGACTACTGCGGAGATTCTGGCACATAGTACTTCACGATCAATCTATTAGATTGATGCATAATTATTGCGGATTATTACAACAAATTTTATTCAAAGAAACGATAAAAATATCTGACAAAGACATGTTCAAATAAATGCTCTGGAACGTATCCACCATCTACGTCAAGCACTGCTTCCCATTTGCTAGGCGGTCGGACTTCACACGCAAAAAAGTTTCGATTCTAAGAAGCGATCCACACCTTGGTACCGGCCATCAAGCCATCATCTGCTTTGTGAGTTCTGTTTGTTGGCCAACTTTCCAACGAACGATTGACGCGATAATCCATATAGGAAATCTTGTCGGTGAGTATGTCAGATGTAGGAGCACGTCCCGTTCCTTCTTGGCTATGGGTAATCCATCGCCGAAAAGTTTGTTGAGATCGCGAAATGGCTCCGCCACCTTCTAAACTTCCTCGGGGTAGAAGAGCATAATTTGTCGAATGCGAAGACGACTTTCTAGTTCATTTTTGTTAGGGAAATCAAGAAGACTTTTCTATGAAAACCCCGAATTAAATAGTCAAATTGTATCAACAGAAAAGGAGCCTTGAAAAAATCCCCAATAATTATGAATCAACCTACTAATATCAGGTCATCACATTCAGAGCGCCAATACAATTGTTAGGAGTGCTGGAGTAGGAAAGATGGGGGCTCCATCGACAGTGATTCGAATCAAAGGCAGTACAGTTTCCCATGCCATGGAATGATTTCGGCGTCCGGAACAGAACAGCCTAAATCAAGTTTCCTAATGAGGCATCATGAGAGGAAATCTGTCGCCTAACTCAATCATGAGCCGGATTAACAATTGCAAGGCACGGCGTTCCACAAGTCCAATTTCGAAAACGTGGTGCCAATGTTAGCGAAGAACGGATGCAATGGAAAGCCGAAGCTGTTCTCATAATGTTCAATGTGCACACAAAGATCTGGAAGATGGAATCAATAGTCGAGTGGTAAAGCGCAGTAACTGGATCACTGTTGAACTTCCTCACAGGAACGAAATTCCCGCCGTGACCGTTGTAGGAATTGTGCTCGAAGAATCGAAGACGGTGCAGTTGTGTGTCTGGGTAGCTTAGTTTCTTCAAAAGCCGGAGTTCAAGAACGAAATGACGCTTACAGTGACGTCACCTGACTCCAAACAAGCACTTATCATTGTTATAGAATTTTAGGGTATGCTGTTTTGCCGACTGTTTCAAAAAAATTCGTCACTGCTTAAGTGCATCATCACTCGACAATTGTATGACAGCATGAAATTTGTATAGTCACTTTCGACCATGCCAATCCTCACGCAGCTCGAATTACACGGCAGTTCTCTGAGGAGAAGATATCAAAGATACCATGATACAGCTGCTGTATTTGCCCGATCTACTACCGTGCGACCTCAACTGTTGAGTCAACGGAAGGCACGAGCCAGTGGCCATGATAAATGGTCGTCCAGAAGTATCAGTAGCAGCAAGCAGTATGCTACTCGTACTTGATGACGAAAAGAACTGTGTGCCCGATGCTATACCTAGATGATGGGAATGGGTCGATGACAACAGTGTGGTATACTCTGCCTACCACTGAAACATCAACTTCTTATACCCTTCTGCTGCTCATTTTATTCAAATAGAGGCTTGCAAACTTTGGATGAGATAGCCTGGTAGATAACCTCATACGGTCCGGATAAGATGCAGCTCACATTGGGTAGGAGGTGGGCGAAATGAGCTCTACCGAAATAGAAGATCGTAGTGCCGAGCCAAATGGAAATAAAAGTCAGATCAGATTGCCTGGGCAACAGAGTGGGCGTGGCCAGAGCCCGAACTCATCAAACTTTTTCAGGACGGTTCCAAGCTTCGGTAAGGAAACTAATCAAGTCAAGTAAAGAAGGAGAGGTAAAACCTCGTGGTGTGGCGGAGTGGCCATTTAAGTGCAAAGCTAGGAGTGGACAGGCCAGATAGAAAGTATTGGTTTGATATCGCCCAATCAATACCAATAAGCATCGGAGTGCAGTTGCCCAAGTGTCCAACAGTGATAATTAATATCGATTTGTTGTTCAATCGACCAACTAAACATATTTTCTTTCCCTTACGATTCATAGTGTTCAAGCATCAAGGACATTACGAATATCTAATATCGGAATATCGAATATCTGATTTCGGACAATCACTAACTATAAGTGTCAATTTACTGCGTCATTACACAAGCATTTGTCTCCCATAGAACAGAGTAATCAGGTATGGTGTGAATTTTGCTACAAGGATCTCTTAACCGACAAGTATCATTTTTGTGTCCAAATGACCGGTTGATCACAGCTTCTCTCCCTTCAGAGGTGGAACTTCTGACTCAGATAAAATAAATATTATTATTTTCATTATTTTAACTAAAAATGCGCTGCAGAGATATCGGTTCGTGATTGAGGCGCAGTTGCGATTATTGTAAGGTATCGCCTTTTAAGCGAGTAGTGGAAGCGATAGTCCGGAATAGGGCAAAATTGGTGGAAGAAAACGCGAAAATCGGCGAATCCAGAGGAATATGAGGCTCCGACAAAGCAGTAAAACTGGGAATTAGACGAGAATGTGACGACAAAGTTCGAATGGAAGAGTTCGGGAAAGCTTCCTGAATATGGCCATTTTTCAACTCAGCGTCTCTTGTGCTATCTTCGAGGGTCACGGGTTCATCTTAAGTGAAAAATTAGTGTTGTAGACTCAGCAGATAACGGTGCAGACTTCGGTAAAAACGTAGTGGGGAGGGGCACCCATCACAAGTTAGTATATCAAGAAATGAATTCAGTCTACGTGTTGATCCTTGTTATACTAGCACTGTACCAGAGGCGAAGAGAGTGACGGGCACCGACAATCTGTGCTCTTTTATGTGGTTCTAGCCAAGGAAATGTAGTTTTTCAATTCAGCCTAAGTAGGTAGGAACAACTGGATGGATTAGGTGATTATCTCGTGCAAAAAAAAGAAAAAAAAGAAAGAAAACTTGCCCAATGGGGTGCTCCTTCCCTACTGAAACTTAGTTAGAAACTGACATGTCCCTGATGTATCACGGCATTACACGTTTCATTGAGTTTATTCTTTGTTATACTAACATTGTGATAGTTGGCCCCCACGACTACATCTTAACTCAGACTTCTAACAATGCTTCCATTGCTCGCTTGGCAGTAATAAACAAGGAAAGCAGTTTCGATCGGGGGTACGTTGCGGTGATATCTGATGGTGGTACTAATCAAAAATTGTGTTTAAGCTCAACGCATATCAATGCGACTTCTAATGTGTTATACCATTGCGCTCCCTACAGTGATAGACAAGCAAAGTGGCATATCAATTCGAGAGTCCATGATTTCATGAGTGAAAATAGCCTTATAATTCAGGACCCTAGTTCGAGTTCAGACGAACAGTGGAAGCGATGGCCTGGATCAGATTGCTCCTGCAAGCTTAAATCGGCTAGCTCACCCACCATAAGTTTAATGAGCGGGCTACTATGCTTCAACATTTACGGCTCTACTTCAAACGGTGTTCTCAGGTGGCAGCGTCATATAGCAACTTCTCGGGGTCACACTTCTTTTCTGTACATAGTATGCAAGCTAAATGTCGTGAACTGTGACTTTAAGATGTGAAAACTCACATTTATAGTGCCTAACACGTTGACATCCAATGATTGGCGGATCTCATCTACTGTCAAGTCCTTGAAGAGAGCAAAGGTGAGCACAGCAGCATTGCATACCACGACATCAACTTTTCCTAAACACGAACTCGCACTCATGTGTTTATCTTATGTTTGCTAACATACCCTACCAATACTAATTGCCAATGCATGTGCTAGCTAACATTGCTGACTATTGCAAATGTCAGCCATTGGCTGAAGTCGATCATTACAGAAACCATAGCTAAATTAGTGCGACAAGCGCGAAGAGCACGTAGCCTTTTGCGCCTTTTTCCCCACACTATCTAAATATTCTAGTACGCTTGCGTGAACTTAGATTGTTCTTATTCGTTCACTAGGCAGGGAATCACCGCGATAAAGTACAGCGTGGCTACTAACTTCAGGCTTGAATACAGTAGCAGAAGGTGAGGGCCAACAAATCCGCACACTCCTAACCATAACATAATTCTGCATTGAGGCCACGGAAAGCGAGATATTCATATGCCGATCCAACATAAAGCCCGCCCACTGCATATAGATAGCTCAGAGCATGTCGTGAAGGGGCTTTTGCTACGTTTTCATTATTCGTTTCAAACTGGCGTTCAATCCGAACGGATCAAGGACGAGAGCTTGCAAGATTGCGAAACCCATTTCCGACACTTCCAGCAGCTTCCGGACTCGCTTAAAGGGCTATCGTCTTTGAAGAAACCTCAAGAATATTCACGTCAAGCATTCACGGTAATCGCGGGATGTCAGGCAGCTGGTCAAAACTGATGGCGTACCCATGACAATGTTGATTGCAGGAGGGACAGTCAATCTCAGTAGTCAACAAAAATGTGAGATACTTGACGGACAGAACAATACGCCGCATCGAATACGGGCTGCTGGCTCGCAGTACCGTTTCCATAATTCAAACTACGCACCGCTCCGCATCGACCGCCACGTGGAATTGAGCGCCGTGGCATTGTGCGCCCGCAACATCATCATTCCGCCATGTCATTCGTACCGCTCCTTCGTCGCATTTTCACGGCGTCCGTCTTCTTGTTCAGCGCCTTCTTCGCAGTCCTCGGTGTCGTCTAACCTCATCTACTATTGGATCACCAACGCAAAGGCACTTGTACCAACGGAGCCATGGAGGATCGCGATGGAACTTGTGACCACGGATGCGCACGATCCGTGTGTTGCATACATACGTCGTGCACCGTCGTAAGCACCGTCGCAGCATTCTTCTGAGGGCAGCGCGTGCCGGTGACCCGAGGTGGACTACACTGGATCGTAGAGGGAAACGGAGGAGGTTAATAACTGTAGTATCCGTCCATCGCAGTGCCTCGCAGCCAGTTGACCAAATATCTCCGCGTAGGATTGGCGCCTTCGAAAAGACCGCATTAATCCACGGCAGAGCCAACAACATTAGCGCGGTAAGAGTTCTACCTAGCCACGCATCCCCGTAATGACACGGGCCACCGCAATTCCTGGCCACCTGGAAGCGTGCTTCGTGTAAACAAACACAGTCACATTTGGAAGTGTTGACTTCAAAGCACGATGCATCGGTCAAGTATTGTATTCAAGTCTTGCGGGCGAAAGGGAGTTGGGCCGTAAATCCATTTCACTAAACATCAGCAAACCTACTCATTCCATGGTTAATCAGGGATAACACACCGGCAACGTTGAAGAAAAATCAACACAAAAATTATTAGGGAAGCGCCATAGAGGTGCGCAGGTTAAGGAATCAAAGCGAGCTGATGGGTCACAGTCTCGCAAGATGTAATTACGGTCGAGTAATTGGCCTTTATTCCTTCACTTCACCGTGCCTGCGCCAGTCGGAAGAAGAAAGATAGGAGAATGGGAAGAGGTTTAGAAAATTGCCTGAACACTATTTAATTGCATAACGGTCACATGAGTGCGGATCGTCTAAGTGTATGTTAGCAAGGCGGACCAACTTCGGCGGGGGTGGCAACCTTTTGCGGAAATGTGCAATCAAGAAAAACGCGAAGAACGAAGAAAATGTAATCAACTACACAAAACGTGGTGTAATTTTTGTGAATGCCGAGCCAGCAAATAGATTAGCGTTGAGATAATGGCAGAGGAAGGGAGCCTCGAGTGAATGATAAGAGTACATTCTTTGCAGAAATTCCTATCACCTGTTGGTCAAGGCATTATTATACAATCCAATATAAGCATTTCTGTGGGTCCGCTCTCTGAGCCCGCGCTGTGACAATATGCACTTTCTTCTATACACACAGCATGTTTTTTTCTATCAAATAGTGACCAATCCCAAGTGCTGGGCCCAGTCAGCAATTATATCAGCCACAATGTTTTTCACATGATTCCTTTAACTGTATTCCTCATATGTCATGCTAATATATCGAGGTATGAACCATAGGAAACGAAGACAGACCTTCACAGCTTCTGCATTACAACGAGAGGACCTCGATAGAACTCATCGACGGTATATATTCCTTCAATATACATCAGCAATAAGAAATGAGAAGCTTAAAAGTTTTCAGGACTATAAGCAGTAGTCCGGGATGACCTGCGCATGCCAATAAGTGATTCCATAATATATTATAGCTAAACTAAGCATTATACAATCCGGTCAGTAGAATAACACAGGAATTCTCGAACACATCTCATGAAAATTACAATCGAAGAAATTATACCGAGACGTCAAAGGGAACACTCCACTCCGTGTGAGTTATTAGTCACTCTGTTTGGTTTGATAGTGAGGAGATTTATAAGTTATTGAATAGTTGGCCCCAGTCTCAGTCGGATACGCCGGATCATCTTCCTTTGCAATTCATCAAAAAGGTGGCGCATATTATCTCGGGACCACTTGCATTCATATTCAGTTAAAGTTTTATAAGGGCAGAGGTGCCTGCGGGGTGGCGTGTTTCATTTGTAATTCCTATCTTCAAGAAGGAGCCCACCTCGTGTCCGCATAATTACGGACCGGTCACTATAACTTCCACCTTCGCCAGATTTTTCGAAAAAAATTCAAAGCAAAGGATTGTACATCACTTGGATGGATTCAGTATCATCTCTGATTGCCACCATGGCTTTCAGAAAGGCAAATCTACTGTTACTGCAATGCTGCAGTTTCTTAATGACTGGACAGCATACCTAGATAATGGTCAAGGAGCAGATCTTTCCTTACCTGTCCTATCTTTCCTATCTGTTTACCTGCACTTAGCAAAGGCATTTGACAGAGACCCATACTGTACTTATCTATAAGTTGGCACTAGCAGGTATTCATCCTCGGAGTAGCTTGAGTTAAAGCCTTCCTCAGTGATCGATCCTTTGTTGTTCGCGTCAATGGTATCTTTTCCGAATTTGCGCCTGTTCTCAGTGGTGTACCGCAGGTTGTGTTTTGTCCCATATCCTCTTTAATATCTCCACATATGAGCTGCCGGAGTTAGCTGGCTCGCGGGGAGTTAAATGCGTTGCGTTTGCGTACGATTTCAAGCTCTACTATCCAGTCTCCATTAATTCTGACAAAGAATTACTTCAGAATGCTATCAATGACATCAGCTGCTGGGCAGCGCAATGAAACCTGCCCATTTCCCAAGAGAAAACCAAGATTCTACATTTAGGTAAAGTTGTTGTTGATCCCTCATATATATAGGCTTATAGATTTACGATCACTATGATAGTAGAATAAAACCACCATCCTTTTACCCTTCAGAAGTCGCAATGCACTATTAAAGCTCCAAAACCAACAACAACATAACTGCATATCCGGATGATGACGTTACATTCAATTTTTTTTCAAATTTTTTTTCCAAATTTGATTTTTTACAAATTTCCAAAGCTATTCCAGAACGTCTTAGAATTACAATCATCATCCACTACACATGAAGTCATCATCGTTACTTGTTACATGTGACGAATTCGCGTCTCTCTGTTTGTCTAACACGAAATTCTATTTTATCTGAGGAAGCGATTGCTGAGGTCAGGTCAATTTTGGCATATATGAGTAGAGCACTCATAATGAATATGGTACTACGAGCAAGAAATAAACTTAAGGGCACTGCCGTCGAAGCCAGAAAGCGCATGTGGATCTCAACGAATAAATTAATGAAATGAGACCAGACAAGGTCGAAAGAAAGGCTGATGAAGTGAAAGCCCCAGGTAATATTGGGTTGTAACATAAATTCGTAGAGTTTTGCGTTAGAGTTATTTTACAACGAGTTATTTTGTTTCTTAGCAAAACGTATACATTCATTTGAAAGAGCTCTTTCTCCTCTACAGAACTGTTTTATTCGTTTTAAGGATAATTAAATTGTTCGTCTTTTTTCGGGCTCAGAAATGGAATATTCAGGAAGAAAAAATTAGCATTTTCGACATCTGCTTTTCTTTGCTTCTCGTCGAGGTCAAAAAAGCAGTCGAAACCGCTTGGGACATATGCAGTGTGTACGGGGTAGGTGTCTTAGGTGTGTCTACTGAAAGGTGTGGGTGGCCCCAGGGAAGGCGCCAAAGCCGAGAGTCAAGCAAGATCTTCACCCAAAAAATGGTCATGATCTGCGTTTGGTGGGACTGGGTAGGCATGGTGCACTGGGAAACTGCTCGAACGAAACGCCACTGTCAACAAGGAGGTCTACATTACCCAGCTGAACAGTGTAAATGGGGCTATTCAGCTGAAAAGACCTTATAGAGGTGGTCAAGTCATCTTGCTCCACGACAACACCAGGCCCCATATTGCTCAAGTCGTCAAAACAGCACTCCAAGAGCTTGAATGGGGGGTTCTTCAGCATTCACCCCACTCTCCGGATCTTGCACCTGCCGACTATCACCTTTTCCGCTCTATGTTAAATCCAATGAGGGGTGTTACCTTCGATGGCGAAGGGGACCTTAAAAACTGGCTCAACAAATTCTTCGACACCACAACGGCCGATTTTCGGCGAATCGCCATCAACAAATTGGTCGAGAGATGGGAAGAGGTCGTGAGCAGTAACGGAGGATACATCATTGGTTAATTTATTATTATAATTATTGTTTTTTGGTTCAGATAAATCTTCGTGAAAAAACTCTACGAACTTATGTTACAACCCAATAGATCAGTGGGACGACCACGTATACGATGGGAAGATGCTTTCAAGATAGTGGCTGGAGCAGAATGGAAGAACAGGGCAGCAACTTTTGAATGGTTCCAGATCATGGCTCGTTTCCCTGTTTATGTTAGATGAAGAACGGAAATAAATGTAAATGGGTAGAGC